GTAGTTCGTGCTTGTAATGAAGTTTGACCCTAATGATTCCCTACCTTCGCTAGATTCCTAAAACCTACGATCATAAAAACATACCACTCGCCAAATCTAACCGCCTCTTATCGCTAAGCCGTTCGTAGGTTAGACGACGTATCCGTTTGAGAAGCGACCGACACGCCGAGACCGGTTCTCTGGTGTCAACGGTCAGGATTTACACCTGGGACACCTAGCTGCTATATTGAATTGCAATGCAATGTATGAATTTAGATCCACTTAATCGACTTAATGCTTTTAAAATTTGGATAAAACTTAGTAAGTGGAATAGCAGCATGAAAATTAAAATATGTTTCTTAGATTTCTTATATGCTGATAAAATAGCCAAATTTTATATACTAGTATAATATTACTTATTTTTATTTAGATTATTAAATCTATAAATAGGCGATTTAAACTTACGTAATTTTGACTTGCTGAACAGATTTTTGATCATCAAAACTACATAAACTTATATTTTCAAGATGTTTGTGAAGTTATAATCATATAGTTCACTTACTGAGAAAATTGTGAATAAGAACACCTTTTTGCAATTTTTTGAGGTATAGTCGCTGGATTATGATGATTTTTTATAATACTCCCAATTCAAATAGCATACAATCAAACATTTTTCATTTATTTTACAATATATGATATATTAACTTTTTTAATAGTCGTAAGACATTGTAATATCTTTTGCAGATCAAAATTTATTTTAATTTTTTCTTTTAAGAACATTTGATCAAATTACTTATATAGATTGAAGAGATAATCGAACAAACCCTCTCCTCTGTATTCAAATAATATCAGGATCGTAATGTTAAAAATCACCATTATAGATTAAAATTTATAATCTAACTCTGTTTTTTCGTTTAATAACTTTTAAAATTTTGGTATTACGGACTAGGGATCAAATGTGTACTGCCAAGGGAAAACTAGACTTTGATTCGATACGTATGTGATGCGTAATTAAAATAAATGTCGCAAAAGAAATCAGTCTTCAGGCCTTAAATATTTTAAAAAGCCGAAGCTGGTTTCTTTTGCAGCACTCATAAGTATTGGGCTAGGACTGAATGTAGCAAATAAACTTAAATTCACGAAGTCTGGTTTTCATTTGGCAGCACTCAAATGTAGTATTAGGAACGCGATTAATAAAATTGGTTATTAATTAATTGATATGAGTGCTGCAAAGGGGAAAGGGCCAATTTAGACTTTATTAAAAATTTTTTGATCAAAGATATCTCAACAAGTACTTGATCAAATTTGACAAAAATTTTATTTGAATTCTACAGATTTGCAGAAATCAAATAATAAAAAAATTTTTTTATCAAAAATTCTTAATAAAGTCTAAAGTGGCCATTTTTCCTTTCCAGCACTCATATAGAGTATGTGTTCTTTATACTATATTTGATCCATCCAAATATTGACATTCGATTAAGAATGATGTATTTTATTGTTTTTCAGAGTGTATTTATTTATTGGGAAGGGTTTATTTATTACATAAATAATATGAGGCTTATAATCCAAGCCATTGATAGATGATCCTATATTTCCAAAGGACGCGATAATCGACCTTAAATAATGAATTGTACGCATAAAAAAAGAATTTTATCAATAAAAATGGTACTTTTCTTTAATTACCATTAATGTAAATACTAGCGCTTTAAATTCGTCTATGTATAGATGATATCGAAGTATACATCATCGGAGTATTGGGTAAGTTTGTGTATGCCTATACAGATCGTAATGTTTATATTTATTTAACAAGCCTTATTATATCACTGTTTGCTCACAAATATGTACGTATAATAAGGCTATGCGGTAAAATTTAATTATAAATATATTTTCTCTCCCACAAACAAATCAAAATAATAAATCTTTGGCAAATGGAAGACGACATATTTGAAGAAACTGTTGAGGGAAAGATTTTTGGCAATTTTAGTTTTGATAAATTTCCGTATTTTATAGAAAACAAATACGACATAGTCGATATACGAAATTTAACTTGTAAACACTTACATAAAGTAATAGATAAACATGATATTGGCAAACTTCACAAGATCATAAATAAAATGTCAAAAATATTTGAAGATCATATTATTCAAACAATTGCCAGTGACGAGAATACGAACAATGATGACGATATGGACAGATTAGAGAAACTGATAATTGAACATTTATCATCAGACATTTCCAAATTAGCAAAATTATTTGCAGCATTCTCTACTGAAATTATTCATTGTGATAAATATGGAATGGTTGATTTAAAACCATATAAATTATCTGGCGTTAATACTTCAGTATTAAATGCCGGAATATTTTCCAGAGCTGGTAACCAGGTTAAATTATCTCAAATAATAAAGCATTTAAGATTTCTAAATGATACTAATTTTATTGAAGAATATAATAAAAGGATTAAGCGGGTAACCAACCACAGTAACATATTTAATATTATGATCAATTCCATAGCAAGCAACTTGACACCTTTTGGTGGTTGTCCTACAAGATATGATATAACATCGTTAGATGAAAATATATCATTTGTTCAATTACTTTATCGAAATTTAGGCGGCAATGATATAATTAAACAGAATGCATTCGATCGGATGGATCCAGCCATTTTACCAAGTTTGACAGAAATGCATAGAAACATTATTAAGTTTGTTCCTTTAGAAGATAGCAAACTTGTATTCAGGTTTGAAAAAGGTACAGTGTGGATCACGAAACTTTACATACATCCACATTGGATTGAAACATTGTGGAATCTAGTATTGCTTGAGATGAGATCAAAATGCGAACCAATAGTTGGTACTGTAACATCTTTTTATGCTGGTATAATAAAAAACAAAGAAGATTTCAATCTAGCCCATCAGCTTGGCATTATTTATAGTGGACCGATGAATTTCGCTCGATTTCATGAGATTATGTCTAAAATTTCTGAAATGAGTCATTATCTTTCAACCTTTAAAGGCTCAATTCAGGTTAAAAATCTCATATCAGCAGTGAGAGCATCGCAAAACAACGCTCTTTTACAATTGTACATAATTTCTGGAGAAAATGTATGGATAAGAATTATTAACATTTCTGCTACTATCATCTTGTTGCTTACTATGCTGCAAACTATTTTATCAATACTATCTTACAAATTGTTATTAGAGCCAAGGAATCAATGCGAATAAATTTTTTAATGCACTATCGTTTTATACTTGTAGTAAGTTCATTCTTTAAACTTGGAATAGATGAAAGCTACACAGACCTATTGTCACATGCCTTTGAAACAATTTACGTTTTAAAAATATAGAGTAGTTTTTAATACAATATTGAAACATTATAACTTTCAAATCCAATGAGGGATTATCATTCTTTTAAAAGATCCTTCAGAAACTTATCTATACTTTTTACATTTATTTCTATTTCTAAAATTTAGTCTCAAACCCTACACCTTTTGCATTCAAAATGTTAATTAAAAATCAATCCACCTTAAATTTCTAATTCTTCTCATCTTTTACATATGAAATTGTAATTCTATGTTTTATGTTATACCTTTGGTATTAGGCAAAAATTCATGAATAATGTATCACGTTATCACAAATAACATGGGTTCTTTCAAAGCATTATATTTAGTTTTTTAACTAGTGCACTTAAATAGTGAACTTTAAATTACGTGATTTTTAAAATGAAATTTACATAACCTGTATTTTATTCTAATTAATGTGCATAAGGATAACGTGTACTATCTTATACGTGCTGCAAAGTCGCAGCTTTGCATCTCTTTAGAATTAGATATAACATTTGCAAATCCTCTGTTTGCTGAAAAAATGTAAAACTGCAGAGTCACAATATCGAAAGTCTTGTAATTATCGTTCTTAATAAAACGAATATCTAAATTAATGTATGTAGTTTACGTATAATTTAAAATTTTATGAAGTATATAGTATATTAAGAACAGAATCAATATTTCCGGAAAATGGCCGGCGTTATGCATAATTATGCAGATTACGAAGAGTATTCCGAACAACAAAAAAAAAAAAATTTGAAAAACGGCAGTCTAAACCTACCTTGGTACACTATAAAAGATGACAGGGATGCAATTTTACGTATAGAAATCTAGTAAAAACACACTAATTCTAATGTTAATTGGACAAATAACTCTGGCTAATATCTGGAAATTTTGGAATACATCCTGATGCTGTTGGTACATTAGTAATAATAATCCTTTCGTGATCTTGATATAGTAATCGGGGGACTATGACATTTTTATATTTTGCGGCTAGGGATAGTCTAGGGATGGTAATCGATTTAAATATGTGATGATTATAATCCGAATATATTACAGCGCTTGTGATCAGCAAATTTCATGCATCACACCGGGAATCAGGAATCTAGTAAATTAATCAAATAATTTTTAGTCATGAAATTTGCTGATCACAGTAATTTGAAAATTGCTGTAAGTTTAAACCTCAGAATATCCAGCTTATAATAGTGTAATTCCCCCCTACAAAATAATTAATAAACCTTTAAAACCCATTTACTTATCCCACCTGAATCTTTCTCATAACGCTCCTTAACTATTGCCCTAGATCCGTGGCAAATCGCGGCATATCTCTTCTTCTAGTGACAATTAATCGCTTTTCTTTTGGTGGTGTGCCGAGCCCGTCCCAGTAACCCGTAACTAGTGCTCCGAACGGGTCGGGTTGAAAACTTTCAGGTTAGAGCTTCAACCCGCCCGAACCGAACCCGAACCGAACCGACACGAAATTTTAAGCTAATATATTTAAATTTTTTAAAAAATGAATTCAGTCGTCCATTTTGCTCTTAAAATTCGTGTAATGATGACTATCGAAGTTGGTTAATCAAATCTAAACTCAATATGTTTTATAACTACAGTAAAAGTCGTGCATTACATACTAGAATAAATGAAAATTTTTATTTTTATCTTATAATTCATAGAATTATAGCTGTTCTTATAAATTCTAGAACAATTGATAAAAATTGATCAGCTAAATTCAATAAGTTTTTGAATTCGGTGTTATCGAATTGCTGTAATGCTGAAAATCCAATTCCGATAACACCGAATCCAAAAACCTATTGAATTTGGCAGATCAAATTTTTATCTGTTGTTTCAGAATTTATGAGAGCAGCTGTAAAAAAAAAATTATTGATTTTGCCCTACAAAATTTCACAGCAGATTCTTGATTTTGATTGGTTAAGAGTGATGAGCAAAATATTTGATCAGAATTACTCAGAATTTTGTTGTTGTTCCTGAACAAATTTTACCATAATGCAAGATTATTTTCCAAAATTTTTATTTTTGTAATGAAAAAAATCAATATTACGATCAGAAATTAGTAAATTATGTAATGTGGGTCAAAATTTTGCAATCTGTAGCTGTTAACCAATAAAAATTGAGGATCTGTTATGACAATTTTGTTTGAAGAAATCTGATTGATGGTTTTATTTAAACTATTATTTAAGAATACTTATGTAATTGCTATTATAAATATATGTACTTACAAAAAAACATATTAAATGCTTATTTCAAGCATCTCTAATTTGGATAATTATAGGTTGGGTTGGGTCAGGATCAGTTCAGGTTAATGTTTAATCCAAAACTGATTTGAACCTAACCTGACCTGAAATTTTGAGTTGGTTTTCAAATTGATCTGACCCAATTTAGAGCATTACCTGTAACAATAGGAAAAAATGATTTTAATAAAGATTTAAAGACTGAAACTAAATATAATATATAGTTTGATCTTATCAAAAGCAAAATAAATAGATAAATATATATTTGCAATAAAATTTTAGATAAAAAATTTTTACAACTTTAATGTAAAATATTAATATTTTGATACAATTAGACTTTTTTGTACATATATTTGTTAATTTCATGTCTATAAAACTGTTCAAATTACATGCTTACAAATTAATAAAGAATTTCTTAAATTTATAATTGATCAATCCAGTATAAGGGTAAGACATATGTGTAAAATTAATGTATCAAGATAGGTTTACCAATATAATTATGTTTCTTGTATAATATAAAATATGGTAAGGATGGTTTCCTTTAATTTTTTTTGATGTCACTTATGCTGATTTTTACAAAATCCTTTTTTAGTAAGAATAATAAATTTTATTGATTCATTTTTTGAAAGAACTAAGATTTTTGCATATCATATAATGTAGCTACATATGCAGACACATATATATTATTATGATCAAACTGACTTACTGATTACATATTAATTTCATCATAATGCAAAGCTACTGATTATTAATATTGTTTGGTTCAGAAGATTGTGACTCTGTTGCTTCACAATTCAATATCTTATGTAATGTATAATAATTAACCTTTTTGAAAGATGGTATTAGATTTGGCTGGTAGATAATTAAGGCTTTCAGTTACTTTGGAGTCAATAAATACAAGTAGGGTAAGTCATGTAGTCAATGACTTGAACAATAATATTATAGAAGTTTACAGAGTTATAATGGTAATAGTGTTAGTGTTTATTATATACAATGTAGTATATTGGGATTTATTATTTAATAAAGTAAACGAAATGTGCTGCTTCTAAAGCTATTTCAGCCTTTATTTATAATATAAAATTCATTATTTACAAATGCAATTTTGTATTTATTATTCCTTAAAACTAATTAAAAGTATTTGCAGTGATTTATTTAATATTTTTAAAGATATGTAATTTGTTTTCATATTCTCCTGTTATTCCTTATCTATTCTTTTAAATCTGAAATATCATTTCTGATTCTAAATGTAACTTATTGTATTTATTACATTTCATGTATTTTTTACATGATCAGTCACAATATTCAGTATCACAATATCTGTCATCACAATATTAATTTTCAAACAATAATCATTACTAATAATATAAATTTTTTTTTCTTTTTTATTGCATTTCTTTTTTTCTTAGATTCTGCAGTTTTAGATTTCAATCTTTCTATCATTGGTGTTTGTCATGTTGTTATTAGTTGGTACTTTTGTCTTGTTTTTGTCATTGATATTGTCTATTTTAGTATATTATTTGTTACTGGTATTGTTAGTCAATATCTTTGTCTTTTTTTTTATTTGATTATTAACACTACTTTCGCATTTCTTCTTTTCTAAATTCTTTATATAACAGTTTCAAATTTTAACATTTTTCATCATTGATGTCATGTACCTTTTGTACTAATGTCATAGTTCAGTTTTTTTTTTTTGCTTCATTTAGTCCTTGGTACTAATTTTTATGTTTTTTCTTTAAGTTCTTTAGGCTCATGATCTATTGATCAGAATTAAATGAATTTTATAACATTTGATTCATTTTGAAAAGACGAATCAAATTGATAGGTTATGAGTTGTTGCTATTTGAATGCTGCGAAAGTAAGAGAGTATTGTGACACACTGATATTATATTATGATGAGTTTATAATACTCCATGAACCAAGGATCTAAATCAAACAATTTTTATATCATTTGATTCACCTCTTCGAGGCGAATTGAATGGTATAAAAATCGTTTGAATTCGAATCGTCGGATCAAAAGTTATAATAAATTCGCCGTGATAACTCCTTTACTTATATTTCTTGGTTTTTTTTCAGTTTCGTTTAATTTACCCGGAAAGTAATGAGGTATTTAGTAACCGATTTTATCAAACGAATAGTCAGAATTTTACTCGTCGCAGTATGATCGTACTGGTTCTGCGCGCGTCACGCGCTGCGCAGCTACCCTAATAGATATGATGCAGCTGGTTTTATCAAACTTGAGGCTGTAATTTCAGTGATCAACAAATCAAAATAGTACTTGTCGTTAGTCTGTTTTTCTCTTAGTGTGCATTTATAGAAATGATCTACAATCCACATGACTTATAAACTTGACAATTCGATGATTTATACGCGTTATTTGCGGGGTAAAAGATGTGATATTTTTTGTAGGCAAATTTGTAATAGCATATCGATATGGTTTAAGAAATATAATAGAAAGTTAGCTTGTTTATACATCGAACTTGTTTTATTTGGACTAATCCTGTTAATCAAAATTTTATTGATCATAAGATTATTCATTAAACAAATATTTGAGTTTCGGCCTTTCTAAAGCGATGTGAAACCACAAAAGTCTTAAAGGCTCTCTAAAAGTGCTAGTTTAATAGTGACTTTTTGAATTATGCAAAAAAGTTTTCTAAAACTTTGAAACACGAGCGTTGCAGAATAGAGCCTGTAACTAACCATAGAAATCATTGACTAGGGTTACAATTTCACTTTACAACATTTATACCAAACAAAAACGATCCTAATAAGATAATTCTATTTTTTTTAAAGATTAAGATCTTGAATTTTAGGAAAGGACGAACTTATTATAAAACGTAATAATGTTCGCTACATTATTTAGTACGGTAAGCATTTACATATTTAGATTACTGGAGTTTGGATTCGTCAAAGTAATCAGCCGAGTAGTATTTGAATGTCCAAATATTGATATTCGATTAAGAATTATGTAATCTTTGTACATAGAATTGTATTCATTATATGATGACTCACGATAATATGATATGGAGGCTTGTAGTCTAAGCCGCTAATGGAATATTCTATATTTATTGTCCAAATATCACTTAAACTCATCCTTAAATCATGAATTGTACACATAGACAGAAATCTTACTAATAAAAATAGTCCCATACTTTATTTATCATTAATTTAAGCATTAGCGCTAGAAGTTCGTCTATGTATTAATGATAATCGAAGCATACGTAGTTGGAGAATTTAGTAAGTTTGGGTACGCTCATACAGATCGTAGTGTTTATATTTATATAATAAGGCTTATTGCAGTATTGTGTCATGTTTATTCACAAGTACAGTATATACGTGCGTGTGTATGCACGCAACATATGATAGGGCTATGCGGCAGGGTTTAACTATAAATATATTTTCTCCCTCCGCAAGCCAATCAACATGATGGATCTTTGGAAAAATGGAAGGCAACATATTTGAAGAAACTGTTGAGGAAAAGATTTTTGGCGATTTTAGTTTTGATCAATATCCATTTTTTACAAAAAACAAATACGATGTAGTCGACATACGACAGTTGACTTGTAAATTCTTGCACAAAATAATAGGTAAAGAAAAACATGATCCGGATAAATTTGACAAGATTATGATTAAAATGTCAAAAATATTTGAAGCACATATTATTAGCACAATTGGAAGTAACGAGAACATAAATAATGATGACGATATGGATAGATTAGAAGATCAGATAATCGAACATTTATCGTTAGATATAACTAAATTAGCAAAATTATTTGCTGCATTCTCTACTGAGATTATTAATTCAGATAAATATGGAATGATTGACTTGAGGCCATATAAATTATCTGGTATCAATACATCAGTATTAAATGCCGGAATATTTTCTAGAGCTGGTAATCAAGTTAAACTATCTCAAATAATAAATTATTTAGAAGATCTAAATACCAATTTTTTTGAAGAATATAATAAAAGGATTAATAATAATTTAATAGACAACAAAACCACACTTTACATTATGATTAATTCCATAGCAAGTAACTTGACACCGTTTGGCACTAATCATACAACATTCGATAAACCATGGTTAGATGAAAATATTTCATTTGCTCAATTGCTTTACCGAAATTTAGGTGGTATTGATATGGTCAAACAACATGCATTCGATAGGTTTGATCCTGCCATTTTACCAACCTTAACAGAAATGCATAGAAATACTATTAAGTTCATTCCTTCAGAAGATAGTAAACTCGTGTTTGAGTTTGATAAGGATAAAAATACAGTGTTAATCACGAAACTTTACATACATCCACATTGGATGGAAACTTTGTGGAATCTTGTAATGCTTGAGATGAGATCAAAATGTGAACCAATAGTTGGTACCGTAACTTGCTTTTATACAGGTGTAATCAAAACAAAAGAAGATTTCAATCTTGCTTATCAGCTTGGCATGATTTATAGTGGACCAATGAATTTTCCACGATTTCATGAAATTATGTGCAAAATTTCTGAAGTAAGCCATTATAATTCGACTCTCAAAGGCACTAATACTGTCAGAAGTCTTGTGTCAACTGTGGAAGCATTGCAAAACAACACTCTTTTGCAGTTATATATAATTTCTGGAGGAAATGTGTGGATAAGAATCGTTAATATTTCAGCTACTATTATTTTGGTACTTACTACGGTACAAACCGTCATATCAGTTCTATCTTATAAAATATCACTAGAGCAAATGAATTCATGTGAATAATAAAGTTTCAATTTATTATTGTTTATCTTTTATTCTTTAAACTTGAGTAACTATGTTCTTTGAAATAATTATTTAGGAACATTTTGATAATTTTAAAAAATCTTAAGGATAGTTTTTAACATAATATTGCTAGTAAAACAATGTAAGTTTCAAGTCCAATCAGTAACTATCTTTCCTTTTTGAAATATCCATTAAAAATCCACCCTTATTTCTTTCTTCAATTTGATTCTAAAATTTAATTTCAATTGCTACCCTTTGTCTGATTAAATTTTCCTAATTCATTCCATTTTATACATACTATGTAAATCTTAACATTTAGTTATTCTAAGTTTTATACCATTTTTTTGGTATTAAGAGGACTAAGGTAGAAATTCATGGAGTATAATGTACTGTGTTTTCACGAAATAAAAAATGTGGAACTTTTTTTTTAGAAAATTTAAGTTTGCAATACTTTATTTTTTATTACTGTGTTTTCACGAAATAAAAAATGAGTAACTTTTTTTTAGAAAATTTAAGTTTGCAATACTTTATATTTTTTATTTTATACGAATTAAGGTGCAGATGGAAGATATACACTACGTATTTTATATGATTGGCAGATATCAAATTCCGTTATAGACCTATTTTACCCAGATTTTTTAATACAGTAATAACCGTATACATTTGCAATCAGAACATCGTTTTAATCAATATACAGTTAAAGCTTGATATAGCAAAGTCCACATTCCGACCTAACGCCTTCGCTGTATAGAAAAATTCGGTTATCAGAAGACAAATTTATATGTCCAGGCACTTTATGATACAAAAACTTTTCGCTATTTCAAAATATTTGCTATGCAAAAATTTGTTATCAAGCGTTGACTGTATTGCATTAAATTAGTTGTATGGGTTAGTAATTTATAATAAAATCATTAACAATATTACTTAAAGAAGTATAGTCGGTAAAATAAAGATATTAAAGTAATTATGCAAGAATTTTGTTTTTTTTTCAAATAAACTAGCAAAGAAAAAAAATCCATATCAACGTTCTAAACCATGTTCACATTCTTCAACTAAATTAGAAATGCGCAATTCTCAATTTTTTCTTTCTTTGAGTTGTAATAATCATTCTTCATACTCTAACTTTCTATTAGTGATGTTCAAAACTATTTTAAAATGATTTAAATTAAATTACATCACTTACATCTTCGAGTGCTCTTTCCAACCTTTAACGTTAAACACAACAGAGATACCAATTCTTTTGTAAAATAAATGATCGCATTTTAACATTTGTATCATATGTTGTTACTGAGTCATTTTCAATATGATCTTCATTTTATAAAGCGAAATCCTATCGCAATAAATGGTATTTAAGTTCCAATTCTCTATAATTAATTAAATATTTACACTGTCGGTTTCATATTTCTTATCATTAAACAGTTTCAAATTCTCTTTATGCAGAGTTTCTACACCATTGATAATTTGAAATCAATGATTCATTTTTGGGTGTATATTTTTTGAATCATTTTGAATGAAATTCGAATTTAAATATTTATTTATTTATAAGAGAGTAATTTACACATGAATTATACTGTACATAATAATAATTAAATAGACTATTGTATTTGTTATTTTTAATTATGAATTATATAACTTATTAATGATATCTTTTATATTGTACATGAATCAGATATATCACAAATTTTTCCAAATAAACTTATCCACCATGATGATGAATAGCTTAACAAGCCGAGTAGAAATAAAAGAATTGAAATTATAAAGCCACTAATACAGAAAAGGCCATTAATGACCCTATTACCGCTAACATATTTTTCTTTACCAAAAATGTGATAAAAATAAGCGATAATGCTATTGACTGTCCATATAGAACATAATACCGATAAGAACTTGCTTCGACATCCAAATCCAACTGGAGGAGTAAAGTAAGCCAAGAGAACTACTATCCAAGGGATTAATATTGAGGCAAAAGCAGTAAGCGTAACATGGGTGTCTGTAACATTTTTATCATCAACATCAATTTTTGGGTATCTATTCACGAGTATTTGCTCATCTTCAAGTACCCTTCTAGGATCGTTAATCACGACTTTCCCTCCACGTACTCTTTTTAGGACTGCAGGCAATGTCCAGCCTAATGCTAATGAAATGTACGGCCAATCTGCTTGAGTACATGGCCCTATAACTCTAGAGATCCCTATAAATATACCAACGCAAATGTAGTAGAATGACACCCCTGATGATACTCTTTCAAGCATTGAGGGATTTGAGACACAATGACTCATTTTCACTTTCTGTTCTGTGGTAGGATTAATTATCATAGAATAATGTCCAACAGGTCGACAAATAGGTGATGTATTGTTTTCATTACCATTAACGCGAAAATGCACTGACGATAGCCAATATGCGCATATAGCTGTATCGTTATTTGCTGTGTTGCAAGAGTAAAACAATCCTGTAAATGGACATCCAAGACAACGCAATGTCCAAAAGATTTTTTTCTTAAAAGTAGTATATGGTGATGTTCCTATTGTCGCAACGGCTGGCAAACAAACAAGCACATAGTGTGGAATAGGATTTTGAATAAATGCTAGGATGTGTTCCTGTAACGACGACATTTTTCATTTAAAAAATTTTACGAGGATTGAAGATTGAACGTTTAACGTTTAAGTTAAAAGATATAAAAATATTAAACTTAATAGTAAAAATTGCCAGAGGTTAATATAGTGTTTGAATACAACTAGACTACAATAGAAGGTTTTTAAGCCTAGTAAACTTCTTTTGTATTTCTCAGAAATACGGTAAAGCAAGTTATTTCTGTTCTAGTAGTATGGTACTAAAGTCTATTTAGTGGATCACAAGTTATTATTTTTTTATTTTTGTGACTATAATCTTAATTCTCCACGAATTTTTTACAATAAAATTATACTCTTCAACCATTTAAATATTTTTCAAACCCGGAGTTACATCCAGTTATTATGATTGTATCATTTTTATTTTTATTATTAGCAATGCGATTTATCGTACCAAATATATATATGGGGTGGGGTCAATAGAAAAGGGACAAATCATTTTTAGCAAAATTTTTTAATCTTTTAAATTAAAATATCTTAACAACCATTTAATCAAATTTGCTAAAAAAATTTTTTTTTTAATCTTAGAATATATAGAATTAAAGTAAAAAAAAAAAAAAAAATTATTAAATTTAATAAGATAATTGCTAAGTTATTTAAGCTTAAAGTCAAGAAAACTTTTACTTAGAAAAAATTTGTCCCTTCTCTATTGACCCCACCCCATACATTGCCAAATAACCTTATTTACCGTAGCAGATTTAAAAGATTTAAACATAACATTCAAATATTCCTGAAACGGAATTACATTCATTTACCCATTAGAGACAGTCATTATTCAAATGGAGACATAAATTGGGCAATCTTCTTTATTTTTACCCGTGCGACGTCATACAAATACTCTACAAGACAAATCTTACTGACTTATTATTCAATTAAATCTAAAATTTTTATAAAGCTAAACAAAGCAAAAAGGAATATCAATTTAAAATAATATGCGATTGATACTGATCAGTCATGTACAATGTAGGCTGCCAATCTGAGTCAAATATTCTGAATAGAGATGGGAAAATCGAGGATTTTTTGAATCTACTGCGCAGCCTGCACGGGTCTGCATTACGGCTAATGCGGGCCAGAATTGTTAAATTCTGCGACATTCCGAAAAATTATGGGCTTTCGGAAAATTCCGACTGCGCAGTGTCCCATCTCTAATTCTGAGCAGCTGCGGCTAACCAGCCGATACAATAAGACTAATTTAATAGCAGAGGCTGTTGATATTATACAACTAAACCGCTACCTGGTGTGTAACACAAAATAATTATTTTATGTGTTGCACACCAGTAGGGATGTGAAAAGTTCGGTTCGGTCCGACTCGGTTCCATAAGTCGAACCTTAATTTGAACTCGGTCCGGAGTT